TCCCACAGCAACTGATGGATCTTGTTGCTCAGTTTCAGGTGGAGTCTGAAAAGTTGTAGCTCAGTCTCACTAATTTCGTACCGGGTCCGCCTGATCTGGTCTTGGAGTAGGGCCTTGCTAGCTTTGTCCAGGATAGCTTGTGTCTTTCTGGTGCGTGTGTGATAAGACAACCTTGTAAATGTTGGCAGCAAGTTCTGGTTGCGGCAGCTTTTAAGAAAATTCAAGTTGCACAGCGAAATAACCCTCCTTTGTCTTAGTTTTTCATAACACTTGGTGGCTGTAAAGATCTCCTTCCCGTAAAGGTGTATGATATTCTCACGTATTGATTCACGGATGGAAAAATGTGATGACACTATATTCCGGGATATCATCCGTTCGCTCGTTGAACTCCGTTACCATCTCCGGCGCAGAGTATAAATACCGCACGCACCGCCGAGAACCTCCCAGTGTTCGAAGTGTTTTCGGAGCGCGAGCATTGAAGATGCCAAGTGAGATTTTGGCGAAACGTCTGCAGGATTCCAGTCGGATGCAAGATTTGCAGGATTCCAGTCGGATGCAGGATTCCAGTCGGAGTTCAACGAGCGAACGGATGATATCCCGGAATATAGTGTCATCACATTTTTCCATCCGTGAATCAATACGTGAGAATATCATACACCTTTACGGGAAGGAGATCTTTACAGCCACCAAGTGTTATGAAAAACTAAGACAAAGGAGGGTTATTTCGCTGTGCAACTTGAATTTTCTTAAAAGCTGCCGCAACCAGAACTTGCTGCCAACATTTACAAGGTTGTCTTATCACACACGCACCAGAAAGACACAAGCTATCCTGGACAAAGCTAGCAAGGCCCTACTCCAAGACCAGATCAGGCGGACCCGGTACGAAATTAGTGAGACTGAGCTACAACTTTTCAGACTCCACCTGAAACTGAGCAACAAGATCCATCAGTTGCTGTGGGACCGCATAGAATTATTAACATCATGGCGCACTGAGAAAGACAAGGACATCACGTCAAAAAAACTGTGGAAGAAATTAGAAATCCTTCAGTCAAATTACAAAAAATCAGGACAAGCGCCAAATACAAACCGAAGCAGTACAGTTCATAATATTTCAGCATACCATCTTTCCGATACAGAAGTCAGCGTACTGAATAAAGGATTTAACTACGCAATAGCTCCAAAAAGAGTACCCGTCGAAGAGATCGTTTCCAACGTCGAAGCAAGTCTTTCCACCATAGACGAACAAGATGCGGAGTTAATTAGGCAAGATGTCGCCAGAGTCTTAAGACAGTCAAAACCACCGCAACCAAACTTAAGCAGAGAAGAAATGCAAGCCTTAAGGAATCTAAACAAAAACGAAAACATTCTAATAATGCCAGCAGACAAAGGAAATGCCACTGTCGTCATGAATACGTCGGATTATAATGCAAAATTGGAGGATATTTTGAACGACCCAATATACAAACTAGTCACCAGAGATCCCACGACATATTTGGAAAAAACAACTAAGTCCAAAATTCTCGATTCATCAATAAACGAGGATACAAAGAAGAAACTTATTCCGAGGGAAAAATCGAGTCGTTGCCCAAAATTCTACGGGCTCCCAAAGATCCATAAGGAAGGGGTTCCCCTGCGTCCAATCGTAAGCGCCTTTAACTCACCATTATGCAAGCTGGAAAAACATCTGGCCAGTGCACTTCAGCCTATAGTGGAAAAGGCAGATTCCTATGTTAAAAACTCAGAACATTTCACTCAGATTTTAGGTTCTCTCAGGATGGACAAGGACGACATTATGGCAAGTTTCGATGTCAAATCCCTCTACCCGAGTATTCCAGTAGAAGAGGCACTCTTGCTTATAGAAGAAAACGAAGATCTTCCGCCATACATAATGGATCTGTCAAGACATTGCCTGAAAAACGCTTACTTTATGCACAACGGGAAAATTTACCGACAAATAGATGGAGCAGCAATGGGATCATCTCTCTCACCTGTGATTGCCAACCTCTTCATGATTTACTTCGAAAAGAAAGCAATAGAGAAGGCAAATCTGAAGCCAAAACTATGGACAAGATACGCTGATGACGTATTTGTTGTATGGCCTTTTGGCAAGGAGGAGCTTTTGAAATTCCTAGATCATCTGAATTCCATTCACCCAAGGATTCAATTTACAATAGAACTTGAAGAGGATAACAGTCTGCCCTTTTTAGATGTGCACATCACAAGGACCGAAGATGGACACTTGGAACACACTGTCTATAGAAAACCAACACACACTAATAGATATCTGAACGCTAAATCTCATCACCACCCATCACAGATACAGGCAGTGGCAAATACATTAATTGCTCGGTCCTTCAGGCTCACAAACGAGAGGAACAGAGATAAAGAACTGAAGAAAATTAGTACCTGTCTTCAACAAAACGGATACCAAAGGCGCACCATCAGCAAGGCAATCAGTAAACAACAACAGCCGCAGCAGAGAGTGCAGGACGAGACCCAACGAAGATCGATCGCTGTCCTGCCATACATCAAGGGGGTTACTGACAAAATCGGCCGAATATTACGGAAACACGACATATCAACGGCATACAAACCTGACCATACCATCGGAGCAATACTAAGAAACCCAAAACAAAAAATTACTCTGGAAAACCAAGGAGTATACAGTGTAGCATGCGGATCGTGCAGCCTGACGTATGTGGGACAGACCAACAGAAGGATTTCAGCCAGGCTCGAGGAACATCGTTTAGCCATAAGAAACAAACAAACAACATCTGCTTTGTTTCAGCACCAACATCAGACAGGCCATAAAATTGATTTCGGCACTTGCAAACAAATAGCTAATATTCCTGATTTTAGGACTAGGATTATACGAGAGGCCATCGAAATAGAAAAGTCCGGACACCTCAATACGAGAGACGACGCTCTGCATTTATCCAACACGTGGAGAACGATAATCAAACAGCAGAGCGATGCGCAGCAGCCAACGGGGACATCGCAACTACGATCGGGCGAAATTAACAACGCGACAATTCAGGGGGCGGAGCCACCTCCCCCCACGCACAAGCAGCACCGTTACCATCTCCGGCGCAGAGTATAAATACCGCACGCACCGCCGAGAACCTCCCAGTGTTCGAAGTGTTTTCGGAGCGCGAGCATTGAAGATGCCAAGTGAGATTTTGGCGAAACGTCTGCAGGATTCCAGTCGGATGCAAGATTTGCAGGATTCCAGTCGGATGCAGGATTCCAGTCGGAGTTCAACGAGCGAACGGATGATATCCCGGAATATAGTGTCATCACATTTTTCCATCCGTGAATCAATACGTGAGAATATATATATATATATATATATATATATATATATATATATATATATATATATATATATATATATATATATATATATTCTAAGGGCTTATAAGAGAAAAGAAATTTTGTTTCTGTTTGTAACATATGTTTGTAAAAAAAAAATATTTTATGAATGACGTTTATTTTTCGACTTTTATGATACAAATTACTGTAATACCATGGCTGCTTCAATATTTCATGTAGATAATAAAAAATACATAAAAAAATAGTTGTGGTAACCTACTATGTCAACAGTAATCCGAGTACATCACACTTATTTTTTCCAGAGAAAAATAACTGCCATAGTTCAGTAAACGGAAAAATGGTCGCTAGTTTTACAAAAAAAAAAAATGTTGAAGATTGTTGTAAACCGATTGGAATTGGAAAGCCTAATGTGTTTAAATTAAGATACTTGGGCAATTAATAAGTAAGAAACTGTAATGGAAAATTTTGTAGGATATGAAATTGTTGAATTCGATGAGTTTGAAAAGTCTGAGAAGAAAATACATATAAGAGCCTTTTTTTTCTTGGATTAGAATAAAATGTGTGTTTGCTTTCTTTGAAAATAAGACATTTTTTCTTACACGTTTAAAGTTACTACTACTGAATTGATTATATAGCAAATAATGCAATATTTTAGTGATATGACGCAGAGTGCGGCACCTGTAACTCGCAGCGTTGCCAAAATGTTTGATTTTTCTTAGCTATTGACAGATTTTATTTCGTATTGGCGTAAATGTAAATCTAGAAACGGATGCTTACGGAGTGAGAGATCAACCCAAAGCAGACCGCGCGCGACATTGAAAAAAGAATTACAAGGAGGCTGATAAATTATTAACGGCTGAAGGGGAGGGGTATGGTTAGAAGTTGGCCGCTCCGCTCAAAAACTCTGCCACGTCGTCGCGATATTTTTCCATTACATTATCTATATATGCGCCGGTTCGGAAGTAAATCAGCGTTATCAAAGACGAAGTTGCCGCCCCCCTAACGAGGAATAACCGCCCCTACGTGATGCCTGTTTTAATGCAATTTTTACCCGCATCCGGGGCCCTTTTTTTCCACTCTTGTTTATTTTTCGTAAGGGGGGTGGGGTGCGGAGGCCAAGAAACCCGGAAAAGTATTTTATTGTATTTCCATTCGAAATTTTGTGAAATTTTTATAAATTTTTTTAATTTTGTTTTTTTTTGTTTTTACTTTGGAAATTCAAGTAAGATATTGAAGAGTCTGGTAGACGCGCATTTTCTAAATCTGCAGATGCAGAAAGCCATTTTGGTCTGCCATGCGGTTGTATAATACTTTCTTAACCGATAGTTTAATGAGTTTTGCAAATATCGACTTAGTGGTTCTACAGAAACATTTTTTGAGGTTCGGTTTAAAATGTTTAAAAAATTATAATCGCTACAACACGTTAAAACATTTTTGTGTTTAATTTGTTTTGCGAATTCTCGTGATGCACAGGGTCACAATTTCACCAAAGATGGTTTAAACTTTCTATACGGGGTGTCTTCGCAAGTTCTTAGCAAATGGGAAAATTTTTAATTATTAACTTCAACAAAAAGAGTTCCGCGTTTAAAATTAATAACAATGTATCTCCAAAAATATAAATTTTTGTACAAAAGCAATTGAGAGCAAATAACGGAAATTATTTTCAGGTTTCCAGATGTAGAGAGATAGTCATTTTAAACCACAGTTAAACGAGTCTCTTGTGCCTTGTACCGCGACCAAACGTATTTGTTCTTCTTGATGATGAGCTCGCGTCTGCTTAGGCGGCCGCCCAAATAGATTTCCCAATGGAAGGCGCACCAAAGATGCATCTGACCAAAGCACTAGCACACAAGAGAACAAGCCGTAGATAATAGGTAAAGCAAGGTATGTAACTAAAGTTAAAAACTGACCACTAACTGAATTCAAGTCAACTATGATTTATATCTTTACGTCATCTGCTGTTGAGCCATCTGAAAGATTTTTCCCTGATTGGTTAGTATTAGAAGATCCCCAAACTCTATGTTGAGCATATGATCGCATTACGCTTGAAATATTCTAAGAGACTGTAAAAATCTTGCACTGACGGCACTACATTTGGTAAAAATAAATAAGAACTAAAAGTTCAGATTTTCACGAAATTATATATTATGACATGACAATTGTTTCGACAACACCGTGTCTTTATAAAAAAAAATCATTTGATAAAGACACAGTGTTGTCCAAACAATTGTCATGTCATAATATACAATTTCGTGAAAATCTGAACTTTTAGTTCTTATTTATTTTGATAAATGGATTTTCATCAAGTAAAAGCCACCTCAGTTCAACTACGTTTGGTGGGCTAACTATACAAGTATTTTCAATTACTATAGCTTGTACTTGTTGTTTTTGATTAAGTCGATATTAACTTATTTTTCTATAAATGGTACATTTTTGTTTATTAAAAAGGCTATGCCACCATAACCATCTTGTAGGCTGCGAAGAAAAAATGGAAGTCTTGCGTCAAATAGTTTTTTATTGACAGCATTTTAAACAAGACGTGTCCGAAAAAATGTCGCACATAACGCAAATTGAGTTCAGAGCAGTCATAAAGTTTTTGACCAAGGAAGGGTTAGCGCCTAAAATTATTAAAGAAAGGCTGAATGGTGTGTACGGCCAAAGTTCTCCTTCGTATTCTGTAGTGAAAGAATGGACAAAACGTTATCAAATAGGGCAGAGTTCCTTTGAAGATGATTCAAGAACTAGTCGACCAGTGGAGGTCATAACGGAAGATATTGTTGCGATTGTGGAAGAGGTGGTATTGAGTGATCGACGATTAAAGGTTAAGGAAATCTCAGAAATTACTAAGCTTTCTGATACAAGTGTTCGTGGAATGCTGCATGATCATTTAGGTATGCATAAGATTAGTGCAAGATGGGTTCCTAAAAACCTTTCGGTTATTCAAAAACAACGCCGTTTCGAGTGTGCGCGATCTTTTTTGGAACTCTGTGGGTCGGAACCGCAGCCTGTGATAGAAACTATTGTGACGGGAGATTAAACTATGGTTCTCTATTATGGCCCTCTATCGAAAAAAGAATCAATGAAGTGGCGTCGTAAGGGTGAAGCATCTCCAAAAAAATTGAGAGCCTGCCAGTCAACAAAAAAGGTGATGGCCACGATCTTTTGGAATTGTGAAGGAATTTTTTGGTAGATTTTGTGGGTTCCAACAAATAGATCATCCTCCCTATAGTCCAGATATGGCCCCTAGCTACTATTATTTGTTTGGATATTTGAAAAAGGACTTACGTGGACGGCGGTTTAACGACGAAGTTGAGTTAAAAGAGGCTGTCTTAGCTCATTTTGCAGACAAACCAAAAGAATATTTTTTTAAAGGGATTGAGTTGTTAATAAAGGGATGTAAAGTTAAGGGGGATTATATTGAAAAACAATAAAAAATTGTTACTCTACTTTGTTTCTTTCATATTCTGGCCAGGAAATTTTGGCGCTGCCCTCGTCCATCTGCTTGATGTTGGGAAATGAGATTTTGCAAGTCTAGCGATTTCCTCTTAAAGATGTTCAAACTTCATAGCTTAGTTACTTACCATACCTATTTACCTATATATCGCTTCTTTATCCTTGAAAGATGTTTGACTAATTAATTGCTTTATTACCGCGGACAACAATGAATATTGAGAGTCTGTCTCCATGTTATTAGCTTTCTCCGCAATTTTGTTTTCTGCCACATAATCCATAATTGACTTCATAAAAAGGTATATTTTCATAATTGCCTTGATTTTTCTTTGTTTTGAATATTCGAGTCAGTTTCTGGATAGCGATCTGTGACCTTCCTCGCAGTGCGCACACGTTAGGATTTCCGAGTCATTCATTTTCCGAATGTTCTTCCTGACATCTTGGCATCTTTTCTTGCTTCGACATCTGACCTCTAAGTGTCTTAATCTTAAATAATTCTTGCACTGCAAAACCTGACCTACGTATATGTCAACTTTTGCTTTGTGATATTCGACATCCTCGACTTTAGGTATCCTTTTCCCTTGGAATGTTAAAACTAATGGATCTGTTCCCATTTGTCATCCTTGTGTTTATTCTTTGCTGATAAGATTTCCGCGCCCGCTTTAGCTACTTGGATGAAGTCTTCCGGGGTGATCTCAATAGGAATACCTCTAATGATGACCTTAGACCAAACTAGACCCATAGGGAGGGATATTGACATGTATAACTTTTTTATTAAACCCGAATCTATAAACTTGATTGCAGCCTTGCAGGTTAAAAACTCAATGCCTTCCTTGTTATTTTCAATATTGCTGCTACATTAGCCTTCGTTAGTTCCCTCCCAAGTCTAACGAGGTGTAGGGATGAGATATTTCGGGATGTGCCTTCAACCAGCACAATAAAAGGTCCCGTGTTCTATTTTAACTCTGTTATCAATGTGAACTCATAAAAAAAGCCTACACTAGATTAGCAAGAGTGAAAGCAAACCCATGCGCGTGGGATAGGCAAAGTAGCAAGCAGATGGTGTTTAGGTCTTAAGTCAACAATTTAGAAGTAAAATCACCGCGGATTGACTTAATCCGTGAATTATTTAAATTCTTTGGGAGCACTCAAGCACACACGCTGTCAAAAATCCTAACCCAAAATACGAAACGTGTTTGATTAGTTATATCTTATGTTTTCTGGTAGTATGAAATTAAATTGATTAAAGTGTAGACCTTACAGGGCTTTAAATTTTGTTCTATAACAATTTTAAGCATTGTTTGCAAATCAAAGCATACCCGCTATATTTAAGATATTTTGAAAATTACCTTTAAGTTTCTGGAAAAATGTGGAGTATTTGATTTAAAAGAACAGAAAAATGATTCGCTTTAAATACTCGAAGATGTGCCGTAGGAAATTGAGCAGAGCGAAATCGCGAAAGTTCGCAGTAAGAGCGTTTTGATTTAATTAAATTTATCGTGGAAAGACGATCGACGGTAATGTTCTCAGACACGCCATTACTTATCGAGCCTGCGATTAATCTGAAGAGGTTACGAGCTGAAACGCCTAATACGTAAGCTGCCGTTTGTCACGACATCCCTGACAAGTTTGACTCCGGAACACTTTTTGGATTACCTGCCGAATAGCCAATAAACTTTTTTTTTATAGCGGCCTATAACGTTACGTAGTTGTTCATTTTGTTCTAAAATGTGTTTTATGCGAGAAACTTGCGCAGTATTATTAGCTGGATACAAGGTGCCCGGAATTGTCAGCAAATACAGGGTGTTTGAAGAAATATAAACCAACGTTCATTTCAAATCAGATCATTTTTTGACAATTTGTAAAACAATTATGCATAATTTTTATTTTTTGTTATTATTTATATAAATATAATGTGCTAATATTGGATTAACTATATTAAAATCGTGAAGCCTCTTAACAAGTTATCGTACTATTGTATGCCACTGACTTTTTTGAAATTTTTCCTGTATGTTTTGACTACACTTGAAATGCAAATTTTTTCGTATTTTTCCTCGTTTCACAAAACTTTGAGAGATAAACTGAGTTAAAAAAATAACACCAAAGAAAATGATAAAAATGATATATACTGTGTGAATGGTTGGGGATAAATTATAAATAAGAATAGATTAGATTAAATGTAAGAATAGTAAAATGCAGTAAGTATAAAACACTTTTCATTTTAAATTGGCAGATGAGTGGACTATAGATAGTATTTGTTCTGTTTTCAAAATATTTTTTGTATAAAAATTAACAAAAACCCAATGTATTTACAAGTATTTTACACAAACCTTTCTATTAAATTCAACTTTAACTCTAACTTTTTTTAACTGTTAATATACTGTGCTTCGAATTTAGACACGCATATTACACCACGCGAATCACATCAACAACTTGTCCGCTTTTTTTTCCTTTCCGTTTCATTAAGTTGTTATTTATTCGTCAGTTAATCTGTAATGTCAATCAAAATTATTGACCATTTTAAAAATAAGAAATTGGTACACTTATCGGGTTTCTCAATAAAAATCCCACCTCGCGTGTGAAATTATTTGCGTGATACATTTTTTTTTCGTATCGGAAAACAGATATAAGAAAAAGTCAAATAGCTTTTACCTATATATTGCAGAATGACAGAAGACAAAATAATCAACATAATTATCTACGTTAATTAACCATCGTCTAGAGTACGGGAGTTTTTATGGCAGCACAATTTTATCAAGAATTACTAAAAGCTTGTTGCTGGGACTTTGTTGCTGAATCTTTCGTTAATTAACCTTCGTCTAGAGTACGGGAGTTTTTATGGCAGCACAATTTTATCAAGAATGACTAAAAGCTTGTTGCTGGGACTTTGTTGCTGAATCTTTCGTTAATTAACCTTCGTCTAGAGTACGGGAGTTTTTATGGCAGCACAATTTTATCAAGAATTACTAAAAGCTTGTTGCTGGGACTTTGTTGCTGAATCTTTCGTTAATTAACCTTCGTCTAGAGTACGGGAGTTTTTATGGCAGCACAATTTTATCAAGAATTACTAAAAGCTTGTTGCTGGGACTTTGTTGCTGAATCTTTCGTTAATTAACCTTCGTCTAGAGTACGGGAGTTTTTATGGCAGCACAATTTTATCAAGAATTACTAAAAGCTTGTTGCTGGGACTTTGTTGCTGAATCTTTCGTTAATTAACCTTCGTCTAGAGTACGGGAGTTTTTATGGCAGCACAATTTTATCAAGAATGACTAAAAGCTTGTTGCTGGGACTTTGTTGCTGAATCTTTCGAAGAAAATTGTCAAATCGACGCAATTTACAATTATTTTTTGAGTCACTGAAGATCTGACATTGTTATTTCAAACACATTTAACAAATAGATCCAAATATCTCGAAGACGATATTGTCCAAATCCA